CTTCCCGAACTTCATGCAAAACAAATTCAGACAAAATATCGTCTAACCAAATATAAATGCTGTAACTAATTTTATACGAGTAATTATTATAAAACAATTTTTTTTTCAGAATCTTAATTGAGATAATAAATACTTCATCAATTATTAACATTAAATATTACAATTACAATTGCAATTACAATTTATAGCTATGAGCATAAAATAATATCTTTTTAAATGTTAAAATTTGTGTTGGTAGTTTGGGATCCCTTTAAACAAAAAAAAAAAAATTTTTCTAAATTCTCCTAATATAAAAAGAGTCCGTTTGAATCTTGTCAAACCAACGCAACAAAATAAGAATTATGTAATGACGTTATTCATTTTGTAAACAAAAACTTGATAATGCCAGAACTTTAGTAAATGCATATAGTTTTAACTTACATTACACAAATTTAAAATAAAAATATGCTTTAACTAAGCATTGTTATTGAAAACTTTTAATGTAAAAACGAAACATTCTTTTGCATATATTATTAAAAAACTTAAGTTTTGGAAACTTTAAATGTAAAAACGTAACATTCTTTTGCATATATTATTAAAAAACTTAAGTTTTTTAACTAAATTTTTGTAAAACAAAACTTTATCTCTTATTAAACTTTGGTTCTTTTATTATTTTCTTGAAGTATATATATATATTTTTTAAAGTATAATAATTGAACATGCGAGCTCCATTTTCATGCTAAATTAATTTTAATTATGCAAGAATATTGATGTTTCTACATCAATATTCATTTGCTAAAAGTTGGCTAAAAATAAAATAAAATGTGACTTATTGACATTTTCCACCGTGGAATTGCCCACATATATATATATATATATATATATATATATATATATATATATATATATATATATATATATATATATATATATATATATATATATATATATATATATATATATATATATTTATATATATATATATATATATATATATATATATATATATATATATATATATATATATATATATATATATATATATATATATATATATATATATATATATATATATATATATATATATATATATATATATATAATATGTATCAGGCCTTGTTTTAAATAAAAAAGTGTTTAATGCATTAGCTTAAGGCAATATTTGACGTCATAAAACTATCTTTATTTTTTTTATAGACGTTAAGTGTTTAACTACCGCAATAAATAAATAACAGCTAACTAGTTAAATTTAATAATTAATTCAAATAACTATAAAAAAAGCCTTTTAAATGTAAATAAAATGTAAAGTATATTATGAAAAGTTTGTTATGTTTTCAATTGTTATTCTAATATTAATTTTAGTTCAATATTATTTTGTAAAAAAATATATATATAATTATTGTTTTTAAATCGTTACAATGATTTTTTTTTTTTTAAAGTTTCGGTATTAAACAAAAAAAAATTAATATATTGATAAAAAAAACCCTTGTTAATTATTTAAACAGCGATTTTGTTTTGACTAGCAAAGAATAATTTAGGTTTTTAAGTATTTTTTAAATTTATGTTGCTTAGCGTTTTAACTTGCATTGTATAATATAAAAAAGTATATTGTCTGCTTAGAGCATATTTTTGATACGTAGTTTAGAATGCTTTTGCCAGGAATTTAATTCATAAATGTTTTACGTTATCGTAAAAATGTTTTACATTGTAAACAAATCACAAAGAAACACAGAGCTATGGAGAAAAATTGTTTTTAACGATTAATTTTTTTTTTTTTAATTTTTTGAAAAAAAAAAAAATAAATAAATTATATATAAAAGTCTTAATTATGCAAACTCATTCGTTAACTATTTTTAAAACAAAATTTTTTTTTAATACTTTTATGCAATACTTTAATCGTGCAAACTTAAAAAAATATTCAAATCAAACAAAATAAGTATATTTAATAATCTGTTTATAATAAACGTTCGTTAAAATTTGTTTATTAAAAATTAAGTTCCTTAACTTATAAACAAATGCAAATGTATTTTCATTCTATGTATAATTACAAAACTTTTTTTTGTTTTGTTTTGTTTGTAAGCAATTTAGTTGAGAATAATAAAATAAAAAAAAGAATAAATATGAGGTAATCTTTGTTAAGAACAAATTTAATTTATTTATTGAACAATATTTTTATTTTTATTTATATACCAACTTAAATAAAATATACCAACATGTTAAAATATTTTAACATGACTTGTGTCATTTATAAACCGAAGGGCAGCTGTCCATACGGCACCATTGGTTTTGGATACTATTTTGTTTTAATGAAGATCACATAACTTACATTTGATTTTAATAACGAAAGTGTTTTCTTTTTCTGTGATAATTTCAATTCGAATAGCATCAGCAAAGTCCCAGAATTTAAAAGTTTTCAAAGTAAATTTTTTTGTCCTTCAAAATACAATCCATAATCAAACTTTAAACAATTTGGAGAGAATGGAAATTTTAGGTTTTTATATACTATTTTGTCTTATTTTATAAAGAAAAATACATAGTCATTAGTAAAGAATAGAGACTGTCATTAAACTAAAATGTGCCTTAGTATTTATTTAATGGAGTCTATAATGTGCGCATGCATAATGAAACCTCCGTTATATAAATATATTGAACGTAATATTAGTGTCATCAGCGGGTGTTATAGCCTACTCGTGATTTCTTTACCTTATAATATAACTTGATTTATTAAAAAAACTTATTGAATCGCACAAAAAAGAAATTTAACGAATTGTATTCATTCAAAAATCGTGAGTAACAGGTAATTTTCTTTTCTTCTATGCCGGCCCCCCTTCCCCCACATAACTTAAAGGTAAAGTTACCTTTAACTAAGAAGAAAAGCAAAGAGTAATACTTAATGAATAATTAAATTTTAGTACAATAAAAAAAAGATTGTTTATTCATTAGCACATTTTTTTTTATATCTCAAAAAAATGTGAATCCTTAATTACAAATTTTTTGCAAATGTTTTTAATAAAAATTCAGTAAAAAACTCTAAAAAAAATTTATAGTGCAAAAAACATTTATATTCTGTATTAATAAATTTGGAATATAGATTTTTTAAAAGTTCTTTACTGAAAACTTTAAAAAAATTACTACTTTTTATTAAAAAAATTTGTAAAAAAGTTGTAGTTAAAGATTGATGAACTTTTTTCATGTTGCTAAATATTTAGATAAAAAGATTAGCGTAAAATTAATTGCTATAAAAAGGTAAGATAAAATTATCGCGATTTAAAATTTAAAAGTTAAAAAATGATAAAAAGTTGCTTAACGAAAACCGCTCTACGCGTACGTAAAAATCGCTTAAGGCGTACATAAATAGCTCTAGGCGTAACGCTTTAAAACAAGGCCTGTATATTATATTTATATATATATATATATATATATATATATATATATTTATATATATATATATATATATATATATATATATATATATATATATATATGTATATATATATATATATATATATATATATACATATACATATATATATATATATATATATATATATATATATATATATATATATATATATATATATATATATATATATCAGGGGCGATTCTAGATCGTTTTCGATAGCATTGACCATATTTGGGCTTCAATCAAAATACTGGTCTCTTTACTGGTAGAAGAGAGTACGGCAGCATCATACATTTCTTTTTTTTTTTTTTTTCGTAACTACTTTTTTAACATGTTATTTTGTAAAGGATTGGTGCAATTTATAGTTTAAATTTAAAAACCTACAAAATTAAATTCATTAATTACCAAAATATAACAGGTTAAACTTGTGAGACTTATTGTCCTTGTGAAACTATTTAAAGTAAAATTAGAAAATTGTACCGAAATTTGCATCTCAATAATTTACATAATTTATATAATTTACAATAATTGACTGTAAATATTAAAAGAAATGATTTTCAAGATTGTTTATGACACAATGGAGTACTATTCTACAATTTTAGGGCTCCCCTCAAATGTATCAAGTTACCCCATACTTGCTAATACAAAACAATATCTTTTTAGTATCCATTTTTTTTAAAAAAGAGATTTTTTTTAATGGAGTAAAGAGCTTATGAGTTACAAAGCATTGACACTAAAAGAAACATGGAGTAACATACCTTAAAACATGGAGTAACATACCTTAAAACATGGAGTAGCATACCTTAAAACATAGCAACTTTAAAAACTAATAAATTTCTTTATTTAAAAAAAAAAAAAAAAAATTCAACCCTAATAATATTTCATGGTATCTGATGATATCTAATGATATTTAATGTTATGTAATGATATCTAATGTTATTAAATTATATTTAATGTTATCTAATGATATCTAATGGTATTTAATGTTATCTTTTGATATCTAATAATACTTAATGTTATTATTTTTTTTTTTATTTACTTCACCTCCTCAAGGCCGAGAAGGCCACTACAGACGAGGAGGCTACTTATTTTGTGGCTATAACCCTCTCTCAACTCTATAACTCCAAAACACGAACCTTGACGAACAAGGCCGCTGCGCGGAGAAACGAGTTGAGCGCGGTACTACCAGGGACGTGGTGGGGATCGAACTCGGAACCACTCGTTTATGAAGCGAGCGCTCTACCACTACACCACTACCGCATAATTTAATAATATCTAATGATATTTAATGTTATTTAATAATATCTAATGATATTTAATGATATCTAATGATATATATTTTTTTTGTCAAAAGAGCCATAATAACTGTTTTGCCATATGAAAGTGGTTGTCATAATTTTTAAGGTGCCTCCACAATTGCATTGTTACATGTTGCTTCACTATCCTCTATATATTTTACAATTTTAATAAAAATTTTATTATTGACTATTACTACTTTAGCTAATTATACTGATTTATTTTATTATAATATCTTTATTGTTTATTATTTTATTATAATATCTTTGTTTATTTAAAAAAAAATAAAGAATGGTTATAAATTATTTCTAATTAATTATAGTGGTTTATGAAAAACCTGACAATCATGCATTAAATGGAGTCAACCTTCAACAACAGCATATTTCAACTTTAGGCACATTAGTAAGTTTTCCTTTTTCAAAAACACATAAACAATTTTAACAATATGTTTTTAGTAATTTTTTCAAATTTTTTAATTAATTTAAGTAGTGGTTTAGAAACTAAAACATTTAATCAAACTAACCAATCATAATTATTTATTAGTGTTAATATTGTTATGTTTTATTGTTTCAGATTTATAATTATGTTTTAATTTTTAGGATTAATTCTTTATAAAATTATGTTTTAATGTAAAAAATACCTCTTAATTTTTCTTTGTTTTAAACCAATCCAAAGCACATCTATTGAAGACTAAATGTGAATGGCATTTGTTGAAGAAAAAAAATTGATAAATGTACTAAGAGATATAATTTAGTTTAATTAACAGCTTGATCGTAAATTAGTTGTCTATTTATTGAACATGTATATATGTTAACTAAAATCATTTCCAAAGCATTTGATGTTATAAAAAATTTTATAAAATGAGGGGTTTACAGAATGAGCAGACAGAAAATATGTGCAAAAAATAAGTTAAAGCAAACTTTATTATTTTTAGATTTTGTAAGCAATAAATTTAAATATAACAAATGTGTACTTAGTATTGTTGGTTTTAAGTGTAGAAAATATTTTGTTAGTAAATAAAGAGAAATCAAAAAAATGATTGTAATAAATTGTTCCTAAAAGTTTTTTTTTTTAAAAGATGTGAGACTAATTTAAATTTAGCTGTTTCATTTTCAGATCAGTGTTGATGGCTATCCTATTTACAAAAACCTGTTTTCTAGATCTTAATTACTAAAAATTATTTCTAAGTTTACACAATATAGATGTACTAGTTTACACAAATATAAATATACTAGTTTACACAAATTTAAATATGCATTTGTTTGCATTTTAAATTCTTTGAGTTTCAAAATTTTTCTGTTTGCACTTAAATAAATAATTAAGAATGTTTACCACAAATTTGCATTTATGCAAGTTTAAGTTTGCATTTATGCAGATTCAAGTTTGCATTTATGCACGTTTAATTTATGCAGGTTCTCATTTATTCTGAAATGAAAACTTATCATTTATGCAGGTTTATTTTGCATAGATCGGGATTCAAATTTGCATTCATGCAAGTTCATTTTGCATTTATACGGATTCAAGATTGCATTTATCCAGATTCATTTTGCAAGTTTTTTATTGAGTACTCGCTATTTATTTCCTAATTATTATTTTCATGATCAAAAACATCAAAATCATTTTTAATATCTTCTTTATTAGAAATTATTTTCAACTTTCTTTTTTTAAATTACATCAACTACAGCTAAATGTATTACATGTGCAAAACAAATTTATTTCCTAATTTTTCCATAATGGAAGCATCATCTGTTATTATGCAAACTATATCACTGGAAGACTTACCTTAAACATGTCTAGTTTTTTGATAAGTAATTTAAGGCAATCATTTGAATTATATGATCTAATTCTTTTGAATCCAAAATTTATAAATCCAGTATTAAAGTGAAGATTTAAATTCATAAACCACATCGTGACTTTTTGTCCCAATTTAAAATTAAGGCTTGGTTAAATATGAAATATTAAAATTTTAAGATTTCTGAGTTTCATAGAGAGAAGTAAAATATCAAGATATTAAATCTTTTATTTTATGTTGTAAAAATAATAAATAAAATTTTGAATATTCATCCAAATCTATACTGAACATGAGTTTTTTTTTATTTCAAGTTTTTTTCTTCTTTTTTCTTTTTGGTAGACTGTAGCCTTAATCATGAAGCAACTCACGAAGTTGATCCCATTCTGCTATTGAACTTATGGAAAATCCATCAATAGCAGCAAATTGAGCCAATCGTTCTCCTAATGATTGTATTATAAAATCAATTGTAGATTAAACACAACATTTTTTATTTGGCAGTTCATCTTCATTATTTATTTAAAATCGTATTGTGGATTTTTTATAAATGTTGTTTCAACCCAACGTTGGACCACCTTTGCATAATATTTTGGACAATGTTTGCATTTTACCTCATCTATCTTTTTGAGATCAAAATAACTCTAAACCTTTGAAGTTTTACATTTGGAGAACATTTTTATAATATTATTTAAAATTTTAAAATAAATTTCAACAAGTATACAACAAAATTAAGTGATCTTCTGAATAAAAAAAAATTAAAAACATTTTCACTTTTGCTACAGGAAAAGGAATTCGAAAGGTAAACAATGAGTTAATAAAATCTATGGGTACCAAAAAAATATCCTGGGATCCCAGAAAAAATTTCCCAGGATTTCGAAATTTCAGTTTGTTATTTTCCAGAAATTTTCCACTAATTATATTTAACTTGATAACTATATTGAATCCCTTTTGCTTGCAACTACTGGTAAAATATTTCTTAAATTTAAAACAAAAAAAGGTGATCAAGTAAATTATAAAATTATTGAAGTAATATTAAAATACATAAATTATTTTTTTCATAAAACATTTTTGAGCATTATTTTTATATATATTATTACTATTGTTATACATGCATTATTATATGTAATTAAAAACGTATTTATAATTTGATGTTTTTGAAACCTTTTTAGGCTCTTATTTTTAAATATGGCCGAAGGGAAGATCTTTTACCTTATGGTAGGTTGCTATTTTTATTAGTTAATTAAATATGATATATTTTTATATTCATATATGGCATACAAAAATGAAATCCAAAATAGAGTCACTTATGCTAAAAAAGTTTATATGGAACCAACGAATAAAGAAAAAGGTAAGAATGTAAAGAAGATGTTCGTTCCTTTATGGTAATTGGTAAAAATAGCAAGGCAATAAAAACCCCAACAGAAAAGTCTAGAATAAAACCTATTATGGGAAATAAAGTTGCACTCAACAGAAAGTCTATTGCAAGTGAACATTTGGTGCGCGAGTTTTATATCTTTGTAGGAGGGGTCTATAACTAAATATAAGAAGAGGCTCTCTTGCATCCAAGATGAAATAGGTATTGAACTGATTGATGTTGAGCTTAACTGTGAAAATAAATAAAATCCTTTATTTAAAGTAAAAATAAAAAGTGTTAAAAAAGATATAGTCCGAAAAGCGGATGTTTGGGACAATATTATCGTTAAACCATTCAAAATGTATATTAATATCTCAAGAAGCGAAATACCTTAACATGCAGCCAATGTGCCACACTTAATACAACCCTTGCAAAAAACATTTTCTGCATTTCAAGAACAACCTTTTTTGCTTGCCAAAACTAGATACCATATTTACTAGATATTTTAATTAAAATGGAAAACAAAGTAATCAAAACCTTTGAAATTATTTTTGTTTTGTTTTTTGTGAACTGCAAAAGTTTTAAATCAAATTCAGTTTATATTTCTGAACTGGTTAACTTTACAAAAACAGTGCTCAATGTTTTATTACAAACAGAGTTGTAATAAATCAGTAAAAAAAACACCTCAATCTCAAGCTAAAGATAAAAAACAATCTCAAGCTAAAGATAGATAAGTGTTTTTTTTTTTTTATTTATACATAATAATAAAAAAAATATATATATTTTTTATGTGCTTTAAGTAAACAATCAATTAGTTTAGACATCAGGTGAAATCATTTCAATATCAGTTTAGTAATCATACAACTATATAATGAACTATATATTTGTATGATTTTGAATGAATATATTTAATCATAATGTTAAATTATTTTTTAAATAGTTATTGACCTGTAAAATCTAGGTTAGCATTCAGCAATTACAATGCAAAACCAATATATCTTTGCTTTACTATAGCATACAACTGTCAACCTGAAACTCTAAAAGTGATGACATGCAAAAATAAATATAAAAATATATAATATTTATTCAATATGAGTTCATAATTTATTTATTGTAATTATTTTTTTCAAATTAGGTATGTTTAATTTTAAAGAAATCTTTTTTTTTTTTCTAGTTAATCTTTTCATTTTATTTCAAATTTGTTTATAAGAAAGCATTAAAATATAACTAAAAATGCTTATAGTATAATATATATAAAGCCTAATATATAACTAAATTATGCTTATAGCAAGGTCATTAATTCTTTTAGAAGTTAACAAAACTTTTGTTCTCTTGCTTTTTTAATTTTTATTAAAATTGTTATGTTATCAAGTTTTAAAATCTAATATCAATTTATTTTATTAATTCTTTTAGAAGTTAACAAAACTTTTGAAATGTTTTTTTTTTACGAAAATTATTATGTTTAAAATATAATATTAATTTATTTTATTAAGAATAACTCTTCATTTACTTGTTGACAGCTATTTTTAGTTTCAACCTGTAATCTTTTTTATTTTGAGGGCTGTTTTTATATATAATTGGTTGATTAAAGCCTTGAATTCAATATTTATTAAGTATATGTAATATATATTAAATATCTTTGGCTTCCTCAGCTTCACTTATTAAATAAATAAATATTCTAGGATTAAAATATTAAAATCTTCTAGGATTAACTCTTACTTTCGATCTTTCTAGGAAACCATATGTCAAATCCATTACAAAATTAGCATCTGCTAAGGTTGAATTTATTTATTGTGCTCACTATATTCTTACTCTGAATTCTTTATCTCTGTAAATCTCAAATCCATCCTTGTATGGAATACTGTTGCCATATCTAGAGCTGATCATTAAATGATTTTTTTTCTTTTTTAGACAAGGTGCAAAAACGCATTGTAAACATAGTTGGACCTGCTCTTGGAGCCAATGTGCAGCCATTGTCGCATCATTGTAATGTTGCTTCCTTTTTTCTTTTCTATAAATAATATACATGGGTGCTGCTCTAAAGACCTAGTGTCTTTTGTGCTATGTACTATAATTCATTCTTGTGTTACTCTTGTGTTATTCAATTAAGTCCTTTTACTATGACTGTTCCTAAGTGCTCCAAAAATTTCATATTTATCTAGTTTTTTTCCTCAAATATCAGTTCTTCGGAATTCACTCCATCTTGTTTTTCTGACTCCTACAATTTTCAATCTTAAAAGTTGTCTGGTTGTCGTTATCTTGCTTCATAACCTTAATCTTTTCTCTTCCAGTAACTTCCAACTCTAATAGTGGTTGCTTGCAGCCTTGTTGAAATTGAAGATATTTAAAAAAAAATCTTATCTTTATTGGAATTTACCTTATGTCAAAACAACAACGTATCCCTTTCAAAGTGTATGCAACAATTAAACCTTTACGTTAATTATAAAAAACTAAGATGATGTAAGTGAATGTATTATTGCTGGAGATTTTCAGTCATATTCCAGAAAGATATAGGATTCTGAGTATTGTAATAACAAATCCCGCAACAAATATTTTAGCCCTCTCTTTATTTCCATTAAATCAAATTTTGCTCATTGATGTAATCAGTTGCGCTTGTCCAACATACACCTATCAACATAATACTCTCTCTAACTCATCTTACATTGATCATATCGCAGTACTAAAAGAGTCATCACTATTCGTTAATAATACCAAAGTTATTTCTCCTTTGCCATTTAATTTAAGCAATCATTTACCAACAGCTAAGAGTATCATATTACACATACTTATCAACAGCTAAGAGTATCACCATTACACATACTTATTAACAGCTAAGAGTATCACCATTACACATACTTATCAACAGCTAAGAGTATCACCATTACACATACTTATCAACTGTAATAAGTAGCATAACACAAAAATGCAGTTTCAAAATATGAATAACAAAATAACAAAATAGGAATAACAAAAATTTCATTAAAACATATAATCAAAATCTATCCATTGCTTTCAATAACTACACCTTCAATGATGATATATAAGACAAGAGTTAATGTAAACATGCGAAAATGTTAAAAATGCTGCTCAAGTACTAGGTTAGTTAAAAAGTTTGCAGAGTGGGGATATAAAAAAAAGGGACAAAACTAAATTTTGTGTGCTGGTTATCTGATGGAAAAGGTTTTTTTCTTCTTCAAACCAGGTCTCTTTTCTTTAATTTTTGTATTTAACTTATCCAACAGATTTGACTCTCCTACTATGGTTACTATGGTTTTACCGGTTTAAAGATAATGGATCAACAAAATGCCCTTTACATCCCAGAAAACAGATGACATAACCTTTTTGGATGATTTGGACCATTTTGGTGATTTTGGGGCTGAACAACCGGGCTCAGTCTACTCTGAGGTTTGTTTTTGCAGCTTGGAATAATAGTGGTTCACCCAGGTTTTATCTATAGTGACAAAACGGCGTAAAAAATCTCTAATTTTTTTGAAAAATCTCCAAATGTTTCTTAGAAAGATTCACTCAAAGTCGTTTTTGATCACAATTTAAGAAATGTGACACACATTGTGCACAAAGCTTTCTGAGGCCTAGCACATCTTTCAAAATATGAAATACTTGGTCAGTTGAAATATTCATGGTCTTAGAAATCTCACTCAAGGTTAACGTTCTGTCATTCATAACCATATCATGAATGGTATCAATTATTTCTTCAGTAGTCACATTTTTTGGACATCCTGATTGAGGATCATTTTCTAGACTGGTGCAACCATGTTTATATTCTAATGCCCACTTACAGACCATTGTTTAGATGGAGCAGCATCCCCTTACACATTCACTATTTCACTACAAATTTCCATCGCCTTCAAACCCTTTTTCACTAAAAATTTTATTACCGCATGATGTTCAATTTTTTCCATGATTAAATTATGTTGACACGTCTAAGCATAATAAAAACACACTGACAAGCCATGACGAGTTGAAATTTGTACATGCGTTCATTAAAAGCATGTGATCTTGAATGCAGTCAAAATTGTAGCCCTATCAACGAATTAAAGTCTTCACTCCACAAACTTTTTAACTAACCTAGTAGTTATTAAACAGTGCTTTGAACAACATGTAATCTGTAAGTATTCCGTATATTGTGGTGGCCTCGGAACTTAAAAGATGCAAAAAATATTTTTTTGTTCAACTATAAACACATGTGACCATGCTTCCTAATAAATCCTAAAATATCTTAATATTTGGAAAACCTCTTTACAAAGACCTAAATTTTCCTAAAATATAATTGAATTTCAAAACTCCTAAAATCTCCTAATTTCTCCTTAAATCTCCTAATTTAAACTTGTTTTTTAAACTTGAAGTTTTCTTTCAAACGTTCAATTTAAACTTTCAAGTTTTTTATTAAAATTTTTGAATAATATTTAAATTTCGGAAAAAATAATATTTAAAGTTCTCCTAAATAATCCTAATAATCTCCTTAAAATTATCTCCAAAAAAATTCCTCAAAATATCCTAAATTCTGCATGTAAAACTTTGCAAACTACAAATTCTCAGAAGTTCTGGGACAAATTCGTATATTCAAAACCAAGACAAAATTTTCAAATATTTTAAAATGTTGTTATTATGTTCAAATTGCAATACTATGGAATTAAATATATACTATTTAATTGGATTAAAAATTTTGTAACTAATCGCTTTCAATGTGTGTGTGTTGATACCTCATATTCTGAAAACACTTCAATTAAGAATGGAATACCACAAGGAACTGTACTAGGGCCTGTATTGTTCTTAATATTTGTTAACGACATAGTTTATTGCACTGATGGAGATTGTGGCATTAAGCTGTTTGCAGATTATATTGAGTTGTATCAATCAAGAAATTATTGCAACAACATTGATCTTGTAAACACTTTAAAAAAAATCTTGGCATGGTCCAATGATTGGCAACAAAAAATAGCAACCAAGAAATGTTTTCATTTATGCTACGCAAGATATAATATACCTACTCATACTTATTCATTAAACTCCGTTATCAATATTGAAACTGTTTATTCAGGATATAATTCAGGATATTGGAATCACCATAATTTTTGATACGAAGTTTTCTAATCACTGCTCTCGTATTTCAAGCATAGCATTCTCTCTCATTTGCTTTTTTAAAATCCTTTTTCTCTAACAATTCTCAACTTTTGTTAAAAGTTTACTAAGTTTATGTGCAGCCTGTATGAGAATCTTGCACCCCAGTTTGAAACTCTTTTAAAAGATATAATTTGCATAAATTTGCATAGAAAAAGTTCAAAAATATTTTTCCAGAATTGTCTTCAAAAGGTGTCATATTACATACACTGATTACTTATCAAGACTTATTGTTTTCCAACTAGAATCTCTTGAGTATCCCAGAGTTAAATTTGATCTTTATATAACTTATAAAGTTATACATAATCTTGTTGATTTACCGTTTTCAGATTTATTTACTTTTTTCAATTCGAAATATTTTACTAGAAGTCATTCACAAAAGTTTACTCCATGTAATAAATACATTAAATGACAATAATGATAGAAGATTTTTTTACAGCAAAAGAATCATTGAAGTATGGAACTCACTTCCTGACCACATAGTAAACTCGCCCTCACTGTCACTGCACTGTTCACTGTCAGCATTCAAATCAAATTCAAAAAAGTATGATTTAAATTGTCACGCAGTCTACTAGCTTGGTTTTTTCACATTTACTCATATTGAATTTTATTTTTTTATTTTTTTTTTGGTATTACATAAGAGTAATTTAGTATTTACCTGTCTCACAATTTTGTATTTTGTACATTTTTCAAATACAAATAAATAAATAAATAATAACCAAAACCCACCTCTAAATAGCAAGCCCAATTTATTAGTTACTACAACAGCTGATGGAATTAGTATTTTACAAAGCTTTACTAAGCTTCTAGTCTATCTAATCTTACTTATATTTCCTAGTATAACAGATAGCCATTCCCACCAGTTTGGGTTTAAAAAAACCTTCTACTCTCCACACAAAGTTTCTATGGAGTGAAACTGTACATCACTTTAAAAACAATAACACGTCTCTATATATTTTTGCAGTTTAGATGTCATTAAAGCTTTGATACTTGCAACTACTATTTGAGAAGCTCTTTTTCTAAAATAAATTTCCATTATATTAGTACACAAAATTTCATTGCTATCCAGTACTGCAAACGTATCATGTCAAGAACTTACCTCAAATCAATCTCTCACAAGGAGTGTAGCAAGGTTCTATTCTATTACCTCCTCTATATAAAATTTATACTAAAAGCATCCTAAATGAAACAGTTTTAGAATGTAAAGTAGGATCGACAATAAATGATATCTATGCAGGTATCATTGCATATGAAGATGATGTAATCTTGCTAAGCCCTACAATCTCTAAATACGAAGTAGTAAATTTCATAAAATTAAAAATTGAGAAAACAAAATTTCTAATTTCTTGAACAAGTCCTATTTTAAATAGCATTATTCAAATTAAGGGAACTTCAATATATCTTCAAAATAAAACATATAGGTTTTCAATGGGATAATGATACTAACAAGAATAACGTTTTAGGGCTTCAAAAAAAAATCTTAAATGAGCGTATAACTCAGTTTAAATCTGTTGCAATAGCTCTAATTGACAGTGGAATTCATTTTTGCCAGCCACCAACAAGAGTTTTATTATATAACTCATTAACAGTTTCAAAAGTTACATATGGTCTTAAGCTATGCAAATATAACACCAGTTTTCTTAGCAATTTAGATGCAGTTGGAAGAGCAGTTTTAAAATCATTTTTTTGTATCTTAGAATATAGTAAAAACTACCTGCATTGTTTTTTTAAAATAGATTGTCATGCTAATGATATTTTATTTTATGTTTAAGATTGGTATATTTGTGACATATATTGATTTTACTATTGAATTAACTATTCAAAACAAAAGTAAATCTATTTATCAGGCTATTGAAAAAAACTCTTGCAATTCACTGATATTAAAGTAATTAATGGCAACACAAAATAAAAAATCTTTTACAAATCTTGGCTTAAACTTTTTTCAGTATATGATATAAAGAAAAAAAAATTTACACAACCTGGAATCATATATTGCTAACTGTGGAAAACATCTAATTGTTAATATTTAAGGCTAACAACATTGAAAACCATGTTGTTTTACTGGTCATAATTTGTTTAGTAACTTTTTTTTAAATATAGTTCATTTTACCTGTAATTTCATTTACTGATTAATAACAAGTAATAATATATAAAGATTTCATTTACTGATTATAATATATAATATATAATAAGAAATAATATATAAAGATATTTACTGATTAATAATAAGTAATAATATATAAAGATTATAATTTATAATCAGTATATGAGTATAAAAAATTCTAAATTTTTGTTTGTTTAGCATCAAACCTATTCAGCTCATTAGAAAGTTCAATTGTTTTAAAACAGAGTACAACTCTTATTCGTAAACTTACTATAAAATTAGTTCAGGTAATATATTTTTATTAATTGAAAAATATTATTTTTTATTAGTAATAAAATTTTAGAAACAGACAAAAGAAAATACTTTGCTATAATGTAGTGGTGAAGGCTTTTATAACTTTTTAAAGCATTTTCTTATTAGCCTTTTTTATAAACTTAGCCTAATCACAACCATTGAGTAAAATAAGATGGAGTGAGATAAAAGTTGTAATAAAAGATTTTAAAAACTGGAAAAAAAGATGTTCAATTTACATATATATAAAAAATTTAAATTCCAGACTGGGGAAAAGTTTAATAATTATAGTTTTGATTTATTTATTACTTATTTTATTCTGAATGAATTTAAGTAGATATTTTGTAAAATGAAATTATTATGGAAAAATTATTTTATTATGTTGTTAATGTGTTATCAAATTTTTTATTAAGTTGTTAATGTGTTAAAGTAATAATATAAAAATGTTAAAGTAATAACCTTTAGAATATTTAACATGAAAATAATTATTTAGAGAATTGGGTTGATATTTTTGGCACCACGGGTTGTTTCATGGCGGTTAGAGATATTTACTTTTTTTTATATTTTTACCTCTTCAGTTATAATATAAAGTTTTGAAAATAAATGTTCTAAAATCTTTTTTTAGGTATCAGCGAGGTAGTCGAATACTTTTGCATACTTTATCCACTTCAACACAAGAAGTATGTATGTTAACTGTTTTTATTTTAACAGCAAAAGTAAGAATATAGTAAAGTATAAAATAAATGCTTTAATGCCATCATTAAACATATTAATATGATAACTTGATAAATTAATATGATAAATTAACATAAAACATAATTCTTATATAATAAATAAAATATAGCGTAATAAAGCTTTTGTAATAAGTTTCATTAAAAAATATTTAAAAATAATCTTGTGCATATTTTTCATTAGTGTTGAAATTAATTAAAAATTAAAATTCTAGGTTTGAAATTAATGCAAAAAATTCTTGTGCATATTTCTGCTCAGTGACAGTGTTGAAAAATTATGAAAGTTTGAAATAAATTATAAAACCTCCATACAAGTTATTATACCCCAGCTACTGGGAAAATATCCTTTACTACCAGGTCCAGTTGGAGGAAAACTATCAAAACCTTACTTGTTTTTTTTTATTGAATTAACTCCCAGTAAGGCTGCATGCAACCACTTTATAAGTTGGGGGTTAACAGAAGGCAAAAAAAGAAAAAATACAGTTGGCAGAAGATTTAAAAAACTGTAAATTGCATGTGTTAAAAAAACATGAAAATAGGAGAAAACTATGCACCTATGTTTAATGTTAAAAACTGAATGAATAAAAGTTTTTTAGCATAAAGAAGTTAGAGTACTTAAACAGAAGTTAGAGTACAAGGAAGAGTGGTACAAGTGATGATTGTTCACTTGAGCAGTGACCATGATAGTACTTATAAAAAAGAGAAAGATGCGCAACTTGACGATGATGTGACAGAGGCTTAAAAATGGCAGTTAAATCACACTCAACAACATTTGCAATATGATTTTGGATTTTGTCTAAATGAGATTAAATAAGACATAAAGTAAAGAGCTCATTAAGATTGTTGCCATTCATCAATATCAGCAATATTGCAATAATTTTTAGCTGTCAATAATAATTAATAAATTATTACCAACTTAATTTTGTTTGAATTAAATTTACAAGCTACTGATTGACTGCCCGTTCTAAGCAATCAAAAGTTATAACTTTTTGTCAAGACAGGAGTATACAATTGTGTCATCAGTAAATCATCAGGAGTATACAGTTTTGTCATCAGCAAGTCATCAGGAGTATACAGTTGTCATCAGCAAATACAGTTGTGTCATCAGCAAATACAGTTGTGTCATCAGCAAATACTTTAGAATAAGATTATCAGGAAGATTATTAATAAAAATAAAATAATATAAAGGAACAACAACACAAGACCAAAGACGGTACCTAAGAAATTACTGAAAATGTAGGAGAGTGTTGTTCATCAAGAAAAATTTTAATAATGTGGTTAGAAAAAGCAAATAATTTTAAAATTATCCTAGAACTGTTACATGAAACAAGCTTATATAGAAGACCAGCATGCTAAAATTTTATACAAGCCTTTTGATTTGTCAAGTGCGATTTTTCTTGATGAATCAAGAGGCCAGAGCCTTTGTCTTGCTGCCTCCATGTTATGTATGGTATAACCTTTCTCTTATAACAGTTAGCAAGTCAGCTGTATAAAAAAGATGATTAAAATTTTTGTTGATTGTCATTGAGTAAGTTGATTCATTGAATAAGACTAAGTAAGTTGTCATTGAATAAGACTCAGGATGAGATATTTACTTACTATATTATATTTACTAACAATAGTAAGAAGATTGGACATTAGTAAGAAAGATCAGAGCAATCAGTTTTTAAAAATTTTGAACCACAGATACCAAGCAGACATCTGTGGTTCCAATTTTTTAAAAAAGGGCAGATTAAATTTTCAGCCAGCAAGAAGAAAGATTCAGTTAAGCATTTGTTAAATAGTTTAGAGAGTATTGAAGAAGTGGTCTGGTGAAGAAGTAGTGAACACTTTTCTTTTGGTGAACACTTTTGAAAGATAGAAATGTTGTTCAAACCACATGCTATAGAAGATAAAAATGTTGTTCAAACCATATGCTGTAGAAGAATATAAGTGAAAGCTACTAGTAAAAGATGCAATTTTGATGTTAATAGTGGATTAATCTGTTTTTTATGATGACAGGATGGTTATTAGATTTAAGTGATGATTCTTTGCTAACATAATCAACTTGTTTCTCTGTGCAATGCCCTCAGTTCATCTAAGTTCCTGTTTCAGAGTTATAGAGTTAAGAGAGGGTTGTAACCGCACCATGGCCTTAAGGATATGAATTAAAATTTAAAAAAAAAAATGTAAATTTTAATTTTTTCCTAACATAAATTGCTTTTGGTTTTTTTGAATATAAATTCAAGGTTCTTTGATTAAACAGGGAAAAAATAGATAACTAGAAAAAAAAAAAAAAAATTATAATCGTGTTTAATAATTTGAATTAAATTGTTAAAAGTTGAATTAGATAAAAACAATTCTAAAAGTATATAGTTAATTAAAGTTTAACTAGAAAATATGAATTATTTTGTCTTTTGTAAGGAATTATTTGATAACATTTTTATTTACAAAGAACAAGAAAAACAAATTTTGTTATTAAAGAAGCACAATAAAAAATGTTGTAATAAATTATTTTTAATTAAAGAGATAAAAACAAAAGTATGGAGATAAAAAAAAGGGTTCTCAAAAATTGGTGTAAGGCTATGTTATTTTTAATTTCGAGGAAATATCAGGATGCTTAAATAAAGAAATATGATAATACTTCTATAACCTCAGAACTGGAATGTCTTTAAAAAAAATCATTTTAAGAGCTCTTAGCAAATAAATCATATAAATGGGAGAAATATGCAACAATAAATATCATTTTATTAAGTTGTGTTTTGGTCCTTTATCCATTAGATACCATTAAAACATGCTCCTGTACTTGATGTACTGAAAACTTTTTTTAATTAACTTTTTTAAAGTTTTTCTGATGTTTAATAATTTATTCAGTTTTAGAAGTAAAATCATTAAGTCAATCAGTTTTTTGCTCTTTTTTCTTTTTTTTTCTCTTTAAAAAAAAAAAAAATAAATAAAAGTGTTCTTATTTTTTGTTTCTTTTTTTATACTTTTTTAAAAGTATGAAATAATTGTTTACCATCTTTCATAAATAGCAAGATTACCTGTGTAAATTTAGAAGTTATATATATTAAACTATGTATTAAAAAGTAAGTGTTTTATGTTTTTGTTAAACCATAAAAATACCGACTCAGAGTCTTAATATGTATTATTAGGTTAGGATTAACTTAAGCTGTAACTGACTAGCTAATCTAATTTGTTTTAGATATTATGTTGTCTTAAAAAAAAAAATTAACATGATAAACTGCACCAATTTTTCTGACTTCTATTCAAACAGACAAAACAATTTTCTGCCAACTCTCATCAGTCTATTATTTTAATGTCTAATCTCTTAAAGTAATTTTATAGTATCATTAAAAACCCACTAAGAAAATATCATATTTATGAATCAGAGCTGTGACAATAGACAGTTTTTTTGTCTTTGATTTGCTACGCCATCAAGATATTAACCATTAGAACCATCTAAGATTGTCAACCTTTCAATTTCAAGATTTTTTTTGCTTGATATGTCAAACAGACTCAAAATCAAAAATGTATTGTGATAACAATACATTTTTGATTTTGATAATTGATAATAATTTTAGGCTTCTTGTTTCTTTCTTATAGAAACTAGAATTCAACACAAAAGTAAAAGTTTAAAATACTGTTTTGGAATAATTTTTAATTTCTTATTTCTATAATTTCTTAGTATCTCCTGAATTTATTTTTTAAATTTTCTGTAATTGGAATTGGTATTTGTAAGAGAAAACTCTTTTTTTGACTTTTTTGGATTCTCAGTAGTTTTTATATTAATAGGAACATATTTTTTGTATTGTATTTTAATTTTGCTTTTGATCATATCATAATTGATTTAATGTCAAAAATGTTTGGTTTATGCAGTATATAGTTTTAGTTTGCATTGCAGTATATGGTTTTAGTTTGGTTTATGCAGTATATATATATGCAGTATATCAACTCGTTTCTCCGCGCAGCGACCTTGTTCATCAAGGTTCGTGTTTCGGAGTTATAGAGTTGAGAGAGGGTTATAACCACAAGTAAGTAGCCTCCTCGTCTGTAGTGGCCTTGAAAAGGTGAATTAAAAAAAAAAAAAAAATAAATAAATATAGACTTCATGTATAACATGCATCAAGTGTCTGATTTATAGAAGTGCCTGATTTTTTCATGAAAAAGCTTTTAAATATAAGCTTATAAAAACTTAGAAATGGAGAAATCAGAGAATATCAGATGAAAAAATGTGCAATTATATTTGGTACTAACAATAACAAACAAATTTTAAATAAGTAAATGAGAGTTTAAAAAATGATTGATAAATTTTCATTATATTCCATAAAAATTGAAATAATATTTTGCAAATAGGATTATTAAAAATAATATTATTAATAATTCTTTATATTTTGCAAATTAGCTGAAATAATATGATTAGTAATAATATAAGTAATATTAATAGTAATATAAATAATATTAATAATAATATAAACAATATTAAAAAATTTTAATTAATATTTTGCAAATTAAGTAAAATAACTAAATAAATTATGGAACATCTAAAATTATGTAAAAAGATATTTAATTTTGTGCCTTACATTTTTTTTTTATAGAGCATGATAAAATCACATAAAAGTGAAGAACTCAACGAGGTAAATGTTATTTTATATGAGGCCATGAGAACAAAAGTGGTGTAAGCAACAAGTTGTAACAAAAGTGGTAACATAGCAACATATTAAAACAATGGAGAAAATAGTAAAAATAAAAGTTTTTTTTTTTTTCCTGAGTTTTTTTATTGAATTATCTCACTTGTTTTTAAATTCACAGCAGCTTTTCAGTTTTAACCATCTATTGAGACATTTCTTTAAGTTTTTTATAGAGTTACGTTACGCAAAAAAAAAAAAAATTCTGAAATTTGTGGGTTACACCACAAATTTACAGAATGTTTTGTTCTCATGGTGTCATTTGAGAGATTGATACAATATGTTTAACAAATATAGAAAATTTTTTAAAGCATAGAAAAAATACATACCAGCAATTTAACAATAGTTCAGAGGGTGCCAAGAAGTCAGACTTAAAATAGTTTAAAAAAATCTTGTAAAATTTAGAAAAAAGGTTTTAAAATATGTATCTGTTGGTCCCCTGTATAAAATATTTTTATATACCCATTCTTGTCTTAATATACAATGACAAATCCAAAAAGTTAATTGAAGAATAAGATTCATTAAAAGTTCATTTAATAGTTGGGTAGATAATAGTTCATAAAATCACATGTTTCTTGTAACTCTTCCATTGATCCATAAAATCACATGTTTCTTGTAACTCTTCCATTGATCCATAAAATCACATGTTTCTTGTAACTCTTCCATTGATCCATAAAATCACATGTTTCTTGTAACTCTTCCATTGATCCATAAAATCACATGTTTCTTGTAACTCTTCCATTGATCCATAAAATCACATGTTTCTTGTAACTCTTCCATTGATCTATAAAATCACATGTTTCTTGTAACTCTTCCATTGATCCATAAAATCACATGTTTCTTGTAACTCTTCCATTGATCCATAAAACAAAACAAAAAATATCATCAATCTAATGCCTATAAAAAGTTACAGAATTTGTGAACTGAATTCTAATTTCATCATCTAATCTGCCCATAAACAAATAGAGCATAAAGAGGCATCATTCTTGTAAACATAGATTTACCATCAACCTATCAGTAAATTTAAAAATGCTAGATGAAAGAATGGTTTCAAAGACTTAAAACTTTTTAGGATGAACAAAAATATGTTTCTTATTTTTTTTTTAAATGGTAATGAACTTCTGTCCTATCAAAATAGCAGCTTTAATTAAGTTGATTTGATCTAACTTGCTAAACCTTTTTTATTTGAAAATAAATATTAGTTTAAAAAAATTACTAGTTGAAAATTTAATTTTAAAAAAATATTATTTTTAATAATATAAATTTGAAATAGACAAGATTTTTTTAAAAGAAAAAATCAACATGATGGAAATCTTTCCTCTGCAAAAAAAATATGGCATTAAAAATGTAATTTATTTTGGTTAATATCTCAATAAATAATTTGTTTAGCAAGTTTAATTAACTTCAAACTTGTTCGTGAAATAAACATAACTTGTTTTCTAAGGTTTATTCAAGAAATAAACACAACTTGTTTTCTAATGTTTGTTTGAGAAACAAACACAACTTGCTTTCTAATGTTTATTCAAGAAATGAACACAACTTGTTTTCTAAGATTTATTCAAAAAATGAACACAACTTGTTTAGGAACTTCATTATCTCTTTCATCACACATGCTGTAACTTTTTAGATATTCATAAAAATATTTATTGTTAAAATAAAAATTTTGAAAATAAATATTTATCCAGAGACATTCATTTAGGCATATTAGTAAAAAGGGCAAAATAAAATTGCAAAATTGAAAACTTAACAAAGTAAAAAAATAGAGTTAAAAATGAGTTGCATACAATACAAGTTACATACAACCATAACCATAAACCATATGGTATCAAAATAAATATTTGCAAATTCTTACTCTAATAGTGGTGTAAGTTCTATTTATAACATCTTTTGATGTCTACTACATGTAAATTTAACATGTAAATGACATGAAAAAGCCAACTATACTTCTTTTACAATCATAAAAGCAAGAATGATTTAATTTACTGTATTAAACTATATATTTTAAAAAAATTAGATTTTTTATATAGTTTACACCCAACAAGGCTGCAACAACTAATAAGTTACTAGAAAACAAAGAGTTAAAGAGCAAGGAAACTGTTGACAGAAGACTTGTTTATTAGTCAATATAATTTATTTGTAATTTTTTATTCAACAATTTGAAATGTTTTGTAAACAAATGTTTTTAATAAGGTACCAATGTTTTACAGCATTTATACTTTTAACAAAGAAAAAAACATTTTTTTTATTTACAGGATTTTGATTTACCAGAAGAGTTGGAATCTATAATTGGTAAACGTTTTTTTTCCACACTTTTTTATTAGTTTATATTGCAATAAAGATTTTATAAACTTTTAATAGTTTCTAAAACCATAAAAGTCTAATTTTTTTTTTACATGACTACATTTTTTTTTTTTTTACATGACTACTATTGTTACACATCGTATTTTCCTTTATAATTTTTTTTTAACTTTATTAAGGAATACTTTTATCTTTTGTTAACAATTTTTATCTTATAGACTTATTAACAATTGGGTTAAAAGATAAAGATACTATAGTTCGATGGTGTGCAGCAAAGGGGTATTTAGATTTTGTGTTTTTTTAATAAGATTTGATCTTTTTTTAAAAAAAATTTGTTTCCTATAAATAATTGGAAAAAAAAAGTGAATATCTCTAGTAACTTTTGTAACCCCTAGACCATGAGGGAGAGAATATAAGGAAGAGAATACATTTAAATAGCTAGTAATAAACATATTTTTTCATGTTTATAATTCAATTTAAAGTTTCTATTTAAACTACTTAAATTCAGAAACTTTGTTCCCAGCCTAAGCACATAGAGGATCAATTAAATTTTGATATGTGCTTTGGTGGGAATTTGATTTGATATTTGCTTTGGTGGGAATTTGACTAAAGAGGTATTTAACAAACAATCTAATAAAAGTCTTTTTTCTATATGAGTTAAGCCATTGACTAATAGTCAGTAGTTTAACTTTGTCAATGTAGAAATCATTTGTTACAAACTTCGTCATTATTAAACTATGCTCTGTAATTTATAAACTGTGTTCTGAAATTAATTACCGACAGTCAAAATAAATTATTAATGTTCCAAAATAATTGTTATATCGAAAAATAATTTGATTTAAATGAAAGATATGTTAATGCTTCTTATACACAAAGTTCTTTAAATGGATTGCTTTTATGTGAAATTTTTTAGCTATAGTTGTTTCAAAAATCTTTACTTATTTGACAAATAAATCAGAAATTGACTCAAACATATAAAATTGATAAAAATGAATGAAAATGTATCAGCCATAAATACTTTTTATCTAAATATTGAAGTGTGAAAAACATATAAAATTGATAAAAATGAATAAAAATGTAACAGCCATAAGTACTTTTTATCTAAATATTGAAGTGTGAAAAACATATAAAATTGATAAAAATGAATGAAAATGTATCAGCCATAAGTACTTTTTACCTAAATATTTATACTGTATATTCTTGTTTTTTAAGAATGGAATTTTCTCTATACTTTGAATATTACAAATTAATTTTATGAATATCTGAAAAGAATCCCTGTGCTTGGGTGATAAAATGCCTACAAAAGTTCTAGAAGTAGGCTTATTTCTTTTTTTTCACAAAGGATAGATGTGCGGATAGATATAATGGATAGACTTTTACAATGGATAGATATGCTTTGCCACAACTATTTTACAGTCTTAGTTAAAAGTTTTGTAATTATAAATATTGATTTAAGACATTTTTTCATTGGAACCAGAGTGCTCGATAAAAACTAGTTTTTTAATTTTGTCAATGAAAGAACCATTAAACTTCAAGATCAACGTTTTTTCCATTAACAAATTGATGGGAAATACAGTTTTCTAAGAATTATAAACAAAAAATTTTTTTAAGAAGTTAATTAATCTTTCCATGTTGTCAATACCGTCTTGAGAATAATCTCTTCTTTGATTAGTTGGTGCATCAATCCTACAAACAACTTCAAGAGATGAATATTGGAGAATATTTTGGTTAGCCACTTGAAGCAGTTCTTTTCAGGTGCAGCAGAATATTCCATTTAAGAAACATATATATCATCATCATTGACCGTATGGTTGAACTAAAGACAAAGTTACGTCTAAAATAAACCAATAAATTTGTATTTCAATGCAATAGATCTCAATACATAAAAATAAAATGTTATAGTGTTTTAATTTTTTACATTTTGAATTATTGTAGGATACCCTTGCATGATGTATGGAACAACAATCTAATCACTGATTTGAAAATCAGCTGCTAACTCTTTTGCAATCAACTGAATATCATGATTTAAATCATCTTCTTCATTTTCAGGTGCATCTCTCACATCATCAGTTTCATCATTCACATCGTCAGTTAAGTTAACCTCTTCACAAAAATTGGTTATCAACCTTCCTGTTCTTTTTAGTGTACTCCATCTTAAAAATTGCACTTGAAAGATAAAAGAAATTGCAGAATACTTATCTCAAGTCCCAAGAAAAAAAAAAGTCACATTTTTTATCATAAATATTTTGGGTATTTGTAAATATACAAGTCAATTTACTTGCCTAGAAAATAATGATCAAATTTGTTGAGTTGTCAGCTGCTGGTGAACTTGCTCTGGACTCATTTTTTTCCCCTGTTCTTCTCCAGCCATAAACATCTGCATTAGGAATATTTTTTGCTTTGAAGAATATCTAAATACTTTTCTTTTTGGTAATACCCATCCAGTGATGTTTATGAAGTTTTCATTCGTTTAATGATAGAATAGGATAATAGCAGGTGATCAGAAGAATTAAATTTCAAATTTCATTTCATTTTGTTGACATAGGAAAGTTTTGTTCTGTCTACCATAGATTTTGCCACAGATCAAAAAGTGTGGTTTTCTGAAAGCATGTGTTCTGCTAATAATTCAGTATCATAAAATGATTCAGCACAACTAAATTGTGTGCAAAACTTAAGAGTGTTAACACTTCTATCAACATGTTCCTTTTTGGAAACTGATGGTGCAGTATAACTTTAGCAAGTTGAACTACAGGGTTTAACAATTTAAACTGAAGAATAGAACTATACTAATGTCACATTAGTATAGTTCCATAGTATTTTTTCTGATCACATGATAGTCTTCACATTATCATGTGATCAGAGAAAAAACTGAAACAAATGATTACTATTTATTTTGGGAATCAGATTTGGTCCTGATAAAGTAGAAATAGAAGTCTATTGTAACTTCAGCGACATCAGCATTTTAAATTTCTTTGCCATTATGAAGAGCCTCATAAATACCTTCTGCAGTCAGCAAATTGTTTCCATCATCAACAAAATTCCTTATGATACATTTCACTCCTGCTGACTATATTGATCTTTTCCATCTGTCACATTTATCTTTTCCAATTGTAATCATACCTCTTAAGAAAGAATCATTTTGCTTTGCAAACTTTGTAAAGGGCTTCTAAGTAGAAATTCCCATGATAAGATGATGTATTATCTGACTTAGCATAAAGGATTTTTAAACAAGAAAAATCATTTCTATCTTTGGCCAAACAACATCTGTTAGACAGAGAATATCAACAAAGCTTTGCTGATATCTATAGACAGCAGTGAAGTAGACTTTTTTCCTCTTTTGACCATTTTCATGGAAGAAGAAGACATCAACATGTAGAGTCATTTCTTTCTTTCCAAAATAATACTTTTGGCTTTCAATTTAGTCGGCAAAATTTTTTGACAATAATCTTTCAGCCAAAAACCAGTTTCCTCATCAAGTTGCTAAAAAGCCATTATTTCGGCCACTTTTTGTTGTGCAATATGAATTTGATGATATAAATATAGGCCTCCACATCCGCTGTAGCCACATTTAAATTATATAGAAGATCTTTATCTTTCTATAACTCACAAACCTGGTTGATTGCAGAAATGAGGTTAGCACAATCAAACATTGACAAGTTCTAAATTGTCAATATTATTAACTGTAGAAATTCTTTTTAGGTGGCTAAAAGAAAATACTGCTCCAACAGGAAGTGGTGAATTCTTTTCATTATAAGTAGCAAGGGTCTACTATGGGATGGATCTAATTTTTAATGCTCTTTTACCAATTTGAAAATCATGTTTTGCATATTGACAACTGTTTGGCTGCTTCTAGCCAATACCCAAAGAAAAACGATGGTATGCACAAAATTAGTCGTAGCATGAATGATAAGTTTGTAATCAGCTTTTAATCAGGATTTTTTCATTCCACTGGTTTCTCAGTGGTAGCTATAAAACAGTAATGTTAGATTTTGATCTATGGAATAATTAATAAAGTTTTCAATTCAAGTATTCAATAATTCAAATTAATAAATTTAAATCTTTTAATAAAAAGCAAATAATATTATTATATTATTCATACCTTGTAAATGATTAGTTATGTCAGCAGTCAATTCATTAACTTGAAGGATTTCATCTCTGTTCCAACACTTAAAAAGACCACAAAAGATCTTCTCCTTATCAAAAAATATGCACCTCTCATAGGGACTGGCTTTATTATTTCTCTCTGACATATTTTGTTTATTGATAATTATTTATTGACTAAAATTAAACAAATGCAGTTTTTACGAACAAATTTCAATTCTTCTACTGAAAACTGCATCAGTTAATATTTTGTCGTCAAAGCAAATGTATTGAAAGAAATTTATGTTATGTAACTCAAGTAAAGCATGGCATTTACAAAATTGTCATTAACACAAATATCACATCGAATCAGTAGTCATTTCCTCCCCGAAGTATTATCTACAAATATCTATCTACAAATGTAATAAATAAAATGTTCTATCTAATATATAAAGTAAATACGAATATATATATATATATATATATATATATATATATATATATATATATATATATATATATATATATATATATATATATATATATATATATATATATATATATATATATATATATATATATATATATATAAATTCAATGTTCTACCTGATATAATATATTTTAATATATTACATAAAACATTGTATTTATTTTTATATATATTTTTTTGTATTTATTTTATATATTACATAAAATATTTTATTTATTAAATTTGTAGATAGATCAAGATAATACTGAGGGGACAATTTCTTTCACAGTTAATTTAGATTTTACTCTTTTGCTATTGCATCACTTGAAGCTTTTGTTAAATACTTTGTTACATTAAAAAAGCTTACAATGTAATTTTTTTCAAGTGCTCTTGTACATTTCCGTTATAAAAATGTATTTAATACATTTTTATATATAATAATTATATTAAAATTTTTAATTACAGTACTAATTTTTAAGGCTGTAAAGTAGCTGTTGCTAAGCATATGTATACAATTGCTAAGGTATTTTTTTAGTGAAAATTTGGTGAAATAAGGCTACTTCTAGGACTTCTGTAGGCTTTTGATCACCCAATCACATGTACTTTTTTTCAGATATTGGAAGATGCATGTTCAAGGAAATTAAATAACTCAGGCCTTGTGATAAAGCAGTAGCGATCACTCCGGGCGCGGCAAATAGAGATTGCTAGTTTCGTTGCGATAGTAAAAAGT